TATTAATTAGTAACTATTATAGACTGTAATCATGTTATTAATGTCTAACAAATAGTATATAAATACTTAATTACATTTTTAGAATAGTGGAGCGATTAATAAGAGCGAAAAATTAAAATATTAATAATTCACTAATGTCTATTTTCTTATTATAAATAGTTATTTTAATTATAAAATTCAAAAGTTTTAGAAATGACTTAAATTATTTTTTAGTATACAAAATGTTTTCGTTAACTATTATAAACTGTAATTGTGTTATTAATGACAACAGATTGTATACAAATACCTAATTATATTTATTAATTATTGGTGATTAATAGCCATTGTTTGAAAATATACATTGATTTGAATTTAAAATTAACTGGAGTGTTTATTACAACTTTTAAATATTTTTATCTTAAGATTTAACTGATAATTTTTAAAATTCTAATAATTTATATAACTCTAAATAATTGGCATGTTAACTTTAACATTAACACTTGTATTATTTTAATTGTGAGCTAGTGCTGATGCAAATAAATTGAGATTAATTATGCAACTAATATAATTAACAGTTAACCAGAATATAATCTAACCGCTAAACGTATTAACAAATCCATAATCACATAACAATTTAAACTAATCTTTTATTCAAATGTTATTTAATTATTTTAATATTCTCTCTCTCTCTCTCTCTCTCTCTCTCTCTCTCTCAATAGTTAAGCCGCAACGGGTCTAACGAGAGTATCAGTTCATCGCCGAGTTATTCGCAACGCTCGGCACCGGTCGACGACCTGTCCTCCACCGCCACCGACGAGTCCTCTCCACTGCACCATCACTTCCGGCCCCGAAGTAACACATTGTCGGAAATCGCGGACATCAGCGCCGACACGGGTGCCGACGATCGGCCGATGACACGCAGCGAGTCGTTAGCCGTACACAACAGGCACTCGGCCTCAGGCGCCGCACAACCGAAGCCAAAACCACTGTTGAATATCTTCATGAAAGTGGGCTCGAAGTCCAATCTGAACCTCACGTCCGATACGGCCGGCGATAAGCTATCGGGCGATACCGGGAGTGCCAGTCCTAAGAGCGCCGGCAATAGTCAGCCGAGCGGTCAGTCATGGCGTCAGTCTATATTCAATCGCATACACGGCGGCGGCACCGGTAGTGACCAGAAACGGGCGGTCAATACCGTAGAAAAGTCGTCGGTAGAGATGTCGCCAATGGGTGGCCACCGGCGGGCGCGGCGTCGGACTCGACAGGAGTTGCGTGAGTTGTGGCGATCGGCGATCCGGCAACAGATGCTGCTAAACAAGATGGACAAACAAAACCAGAGTTTACAGGGTAAGTGTGTGCACACCTCCTCCCCCCCTCACCACACCCACACTATATAAATAAAACTTAATTATACAAAAGTTTATCAAACTTTAACCTGTTAATCTGTTCTCATCCCTGGCCAATGGGTACAGACGACCGGATCGGCACCTATGATAAGCGTATGAAATTAGATTACGATGAAATACCAAACTTTTCGGACGCCACCCAACTCTGGGACGCCACTAAACGCTGGGACTCCCTGTGCGACGATCACCGGCACCGCAATCACGCGGCCATAACCTACGAGCGCCTATTCAATGCCATACAACTGGGTTAGTAGTGAACTCGTTAACCATGTTTGTTAATATGTATAGTTTTTAACTATGATTTACTTTGTCTGACCCCTACAGGTGTGCCCCGGCATAAGAAGGGCGAAGTTTGGCTATTTCTCAGCCAATACTATAAGTGTGTGAATAATGATAATAACAATAATAAGTGTTTTAATAATTGTATTAATAATAAAACTGATAACAAAGACAACGACTCCGTGAACGCCGACACCCCATACCGGCAACTGTTGGGACAGTTGGCTACACAACAGCACGCTATACTCGTCGACCTAGGTGAGTCTAGAAAAATTACATTATTTATATATTTGGCACATAAATATATTGTATTTGAGACATCTCGGTCATTTGCGCGCCAATATTAATTAGTTTAATAAATGTTATTTTTAATAAATAATATATATGTTTTAAATCATTTTTTGATTAATTACCTAGACACTTTGCAAACAATTTAAATTACCAATTTATAAAATACTGTTATAAACATTTACCAAAACCAGATGGCAGTCGACCGTCTGTTTTCTTATCAATTGAATATATAATATTCAAAAGTTTTTTCAATTGACTTTTATTAAAATTAATATTTTTTACTTGCAAAAATATTTCACTTATTAACTATTATAGACTGTAATTATGATATTACTGACTAAAAGATTGTATATAAATACTTAATTACATTTTTTAATCTTTGGATTAAAGCGGATTAAGCGACAAATATTAATAAATCACTATGCTGAAATGGATATATATTTTTTAATCTGATCTGATAATTTTCAAATACTGATTATTTAAAAAATCTAGGTGAATCTATATAGCTTACATTAATTAGTAATTTAGTAAATTTGAATTGCAAGCGAGACATCGTATTGTCATTTGTGGGAAAATATTAATTATTTTAACTAAATAATAGTAAAAACATTTTTAAACTAACCACCAAGACATTCTTGCAGACAATTTAAATTACCAATTTAAAAATATTGTTATAAACATTTCTCAAGACTAGATGGCCGGCAGTTATCTGTTTTCTTATTATAAATAGTTATTTAAAATATAAAATTAATAAGTTTTTTATATGACTTAAAATATATTTAAAAATTTTTATTAACTATTATAAACTGTAATTGTGTTATTGATGACAGCAAATTGTATGTAAATACTTAATTACCTTTATTAATTATTGGTTTGCCATTGTTTGGACATCTAAATTGATTTAAATTTTTAATTAACTAACTGTTTAGCACAACTTTTAAATATTCTTATCTTAACTGATAATTTTTAAAACCCCCATTATTTATTAAACTACAAATAATTAACATAAAATATCTATGTGAATTGATTGAGTTTATACATGGTTTATATGGGTCAATGTCTACAATATGCAAAAACAGGTGTCTGTAAGGATCAGACATAGGCCCCAGGTGGTGGTGGTTTGAATTATTGTGCGTTATGATATACCTGATTATACAACATGATAACACTTTCAACCCTTTAATTGACTTTTATTTAAAGTTTTTAATATTTTTTTAAGTACATAAATATTCCAGTTATTAACTTTTATAGACTGTAATAACGATATGAATGACTAAAAGATTGTATATAAATACTTTATTACATTTTTAAATCATTGGGTTCATCATTGAAGTGATCAATATTAATAGATCACTATGTTGACCTACGTATACATTTTTTAATCTAATCTGACAATTTTCAAATACGGCTCATTTTAAAATCTTTTTAATATAGATGAGTTAGATTACATTAATTAGTAATTTAGTAAATTGTTTTTGAGACATCGTGTTGTCATTTGTGCGCAAAT